TTGTTGAAAAATTATCTTATTAGCAATATTATATGCTATATTTTTTAAACATATTATATATATATATATATTCTATGACTGATTTTCTGTTTTGTGACTTATAAAGCCCAATTTTTTTTTTTTTTTGGGTATCTAGTATCTACTAATGATGATTTGGTCTTTTATTATATATTTATGGATTTTAGAATAATTTAATATTGGCTTTTTTCTAGTGGTACCTAATCACATGATATTGAATATAAGGTCTTGTATAATGTAAATAATTAAACAGTAATAACAACTGTACCTTAAACAATAAAGTAATAGCTGTTAAATTTAAATTATATTTTATTGCTGGATAATGATTCATGCACGGTTGGTTCAACACCCGGTAGTGCATATTCCATAAATTGAACAAAATGTAAAAGTAAAATTATAAATTTACCTTTAAAGCCATCTTCTTCCTCACAATACCCCTTTTCTACCTATCTCTCAATCTCTCTCTTCAACAATTCAACACCAGTTTCTCAACTTTCTTCCCCCTCCTTCTCTTCTTCCTTCTCTTTCTACCTACTAAAACAAACAAGTTCTTTAACACCTCACGAACCCAGCACTTGGGTTCAAATTTAACCTAGATCTAAGTTTAAATTGGACCTAGATCTAGGTTCAAATACCTAGGTTCGTGAATAATCCAGCACCAAATAAGAGGAAGAACAGGCCACAAACCGACAAAAAAAATGGGACCATAAGAAAAACAAATCACAAAAAACAATTTTTTGTTTTGCACACAAAATCAGAACCTACAAAGCTCCAAATGAAAAACTGACTGTTTAAAATGTATATCAATGTCTCTTGAACACCCAAACAAAATTTCAACTCAATCCAATTGTGAAGTTTTGTACATCAGACAAAATAGCAAAGTTGTGTATAGTACCAAAACTACAGAAATTTCCCATGTTTTCTTTTCCCATGTTTTCTTTTCCCTTTTTTGCCAATTGGCTCCACTCACATGCACTCCACTTTCTACTATATCATGCCAAAAACAAAGTTGTTTTATGTGTCTAATGGGCTACAAAATTAGGAGTTAAATCGAGGATGATTTTTTAAGAAAATGAACTCTTCCCTAAGATTTGGTGTTGTTGTCATTTGGGACATTAATTTCCACTAATTTGGTGATACTGTCGTTTAGGAAACTTACTCAAGATTCTGATATGATGCTTGAATGCTTGATTAAGTTTTGCTGGGATTCAAATGATTTGTTCTTACTATCATTTGGGAAATAAGTTTTGTGAGGAAGAAGATGGCTTTAAGCGTAATTTTGTAATTTTAGTTTTACAATCTATTTGGTTTATGGAATGTGCATCATTGAGTGTCAAACTAGTGGGTATATGAATCACTTTCCTCTTTTAACACTGTTTTTGGTTTTTTTTTTTTTCCACCTTTTGCTTGAAATGTTATTCAATCAAGTTTTTATGATATTTATTATGACTTTTTTTTCTTCAAAACTTTAATACAAAAAAGAAAAAAAAAAAAGAATGAAAAGAAACAGCAACATAACCGAGCAAAGGTTTTAGTCTTTTGTCTTCAAATTATTTTACGCTTTTTTTTTAACCCCAAAAGTACATTTTCGCTTTAAGTTTTGAGTTTCCAATTTCTATTTTTATTTTAAAGTTTTTTTTCTTATTTTTTATAAACTTTTTATGGTGATACCAAAGAATCTCAAAGATTCAAATGAAGTAATGAAATAATATGCCTTCTATGAAGTTTGGGCAAGGCATGGGGAGGAGAATATTGTAAGCGATGCTAATGATCTTGATGACACATTACTGTGGCAACTTGACTAGTGGTACTCCCGTGATTACTATTAGGTGATGTCCTCTCCAATGAGATTGACATGTTTGTTCGACTTATTGGTTTCGTTCATTGTTTTTCTTTTTCAATCAAATCTCGCAAAGTCTCAAACTTAGTAATTTGTGATAAAAAGTATGTCAATTGTACTGTCACAATAAACACTGTTTTGCGTTAAAGTTTTTAATTTAGTGTAGTAAACTAGTAGATTACTAGTCCTAATAATTGAGTTTTTAGGGAGAGTATTATTTTTTGTCATTTTAATGGTGTTATTTTAATGTAAATTCTTGTAATCTCTATTGTAATTTATAAATTAAAAGTTTCAAATTTGATATTAAGATTCAAGATAAATGAAAAGTTATTTCTAATTATATGTAAAATTTTATTTTTACAAAAGACTCTTAATATCGAAAAGCATGCCTTCATCAAACATTTTATATTATGCAATTCAATCCTATTGTGTGTGTATATATATATAAAGTGATGTTATTTCAAGTTGTAAGTTACTTATAACCACTTCTTTTCCATCTTTCTTCTACTTCATTTCTTTGCAAACATCATTATGTCCCAATTCTCTTGTAGGGTATACTAACATTGTCCCAACAACCCACCGCCCTTTCTGATGGGGTAGGGCATCCTTCTTGGGGCAAGCTCCCGGCCCACATCTCCAGCAATTATCAATTTGTACCAGGTTCAGCAACTCCCAATGGTAAACTTCTCTTCCCCAAATCAGGTATCCATAGGTAGAAAGTAATTAAAGAATAAAATGGAAAATCTAAAGTTATGGCAGAACTGATATATTAGCACTGTACTTAAAAAAGTTGAGCATGCATGAGAGGCCTCATTGTTTAAAATTTTTCATTACATAGTAAGTATAGACTTCCCGTCGAGAAATGAAAGATTCACCTTGGAGCTGAATGAGCTAGTAAAATCCTCAGTGGAGTTCACCATATATCAAACGTTTTCTAGGCTGTTTCCTTTTCTTTCTTACATGGCCTGGAATCCAGACTTCATAGCGTTTAACAATATCTTAAACCTCGTGCTTCTAATCTGTATTGAGTCCAGATCCAGGCCTCTTCAGCATTTATCCATGTAAATTTATGGGAAATTAAACCTTGTCATTTACAGTGATGGCGTTATTCACCTTCTTCTTCCTCTCTGCTAAGCTACGACAGGAGACCAAGCTTGGAAGGCAACATGGTGAAGCCCTAATTGGTTTCTCCTTCTCCATTATTATGTCATCTCCATTTGCAGTCCTTTCACTGCTACCAACAGAATTAGCTCCACCAAAAGGGGTGCCATTTACAGACTTTGGAGGAAGGTCTAGGATTGTTGACTTCACTTCCAGTTTTCCATGGGTAATGTTCTGGTTACCTACAGTACGTTGCTCATCAACATCCGGATCTTCTCTAAGGCTCTCTTGGAACAGTTCAAGGAGTTTCTTTTTTGCTCCTGTTGGGGATGGTTCAGGAATGGGAGTGGGAGTACTGTCTGCAAGGGCACGGTGCACTGGAGTCATTCCCCTGGAGAAGCTGTGATGGACTGGGGTATTGCCACGAGATGGAGTAAAATCTGTAAAGAAAACAGGTATAATTATTTTGATGAGGCAAGGAAAACGAAGGCAACAGAGATTCGTCTTATGTATACACTTGAAAGATAGCCAGTGGCAACCATTGCAACTTGAGAAAAGACTTCACCTTTGTATATTTAAAATATTAATGAAAATAAGCACACAAAGGTGCAATGCCGCAATTGTAATAAAACTGCAAGGCAAAAGAAGGAGATCAAACAGTTCAGATGGTCTTACCGCCATTGACACTGTAGAAATCATCTTCAGTGTCAGAATCTAACCATGCTTTAGAATCAAAAAAGGTTTCCTCTTTACTACCTGCATAGAAGGCAGATTACATTAGGTTAAGCAAGAAAAGAATGTAGAGAATTCATGGATAAACTGAACTACATCCAACACAATCTAAAGCACATATGTCTGAGTTTGAGGATTGCAGACTCTAGGTTCAATTGCAAGTGTTTAGAACCAAACACCAAGGAAAGAATCAATCATCTAATCACTCTTGGACGCTGCCTTATTCAACTCCTCAATATGATCTCAGTTTGAGGTGACCAAACATTGACAAGGATCTCATCTATTTGATATCCAGCAAACATAACAACAGCACAGGCACAGGCAGTCACAATACCTAACGAAACCAAGCATTAACAGGGATCCACAAGTACTGAGGATCACAATACATGATGTCTTTTCTTGAAATGGCAATATGGCTTCATCACGAGTCCATAGACATTCCCTTCTAATTTGCAAAAACATCCATAAGCAAAACCGGTCTTTTCAATCATACACGTACTAAAGCACGGTCCACCTATCTTCAACAACGGCTGCTAAAATCCACCTAATGATGCACCCCCTTCAATGTGGGGATAAAGAATGACCCCACAAAGCTTAGCATATTTCAACGGTAGGGACAAATCGTCAAACGCATTTATATATATTAAATACAGGAAGAAGAATGCCAACAATTAAGCACCTTTACATTGAACATTGCATCTCACAAAAAGGTAATGTACTACTAGACAAGGGCATCTAACCATTTCTCCCAAATGCAAGTTAGATTTCCAACTTCACATAATGCCAGGTTTAAGAAAGGACATATCCCAAGTTTACTTTACTTTCTCTAATGTTAAATTTGTAATATAGACAATATCATCATACAGTTTCCAGAAAAGAAAAAAAACGTAATACAAAAAACTGAATGTTCTTCCCCACCCCCCTTATTTCTTAATAGTTTGCAAATTCAGAATCAATTTTACTTGCAATAGAAGAAAATAAAAGGTAGTGCTACTTTTAAGTTTTAAAATTCATAATATCTTAAAAAAAGAACAAAGGAAGGGCATGTCTGCAGCTATTTAATCTAATTAGTTTTGCCCTGTTAACAAGGAAATATTTCCATTTTCCATTTCTTTAACCATAAAAAATAAAAATTATGCCTTTTTAAGTCGGGGTAACAATTGGAGGAAGGTACTAAATTGAAACACAGAAAAAGAAACAGGGTAGGATCAAATGAGAATAGGGGTTTACTTTATACTCAAAATCCGGATAATCAAGGAGAAATCCTATATTTAGGGGTAATAGAACTGCTGTAAAATATGGTAACAAGGCAACAACATATCACAATTAACATATAAGAAAAATATTTTTCAGGGAAAAATGAAGGGAAGGATGTGAAAATGGAAACATAACAATTACTCAAATTCTGCATAATTTCAGCCACCAAAACAGCAAAAACAGTTTCGTTGAGAAATAATTTGTACATATATGTAATACAATTTTTGAAAAATACCCATAAAGATCATCAAACATTTGTTCTCTGATAAAAGTAGGGTGCTTCACATGACATCAACATCAACATGGCACAAAAAAACAACTCCTCTGACACATCCCATACCCCATTTCAGATCTCTCACCAATGGAAGAATCATCACTTAACAATAAAACAGGGAAAAAAAAAAGGTGGACTTTATACTTACGCGAAGATGAAAAACAGGGCATCCATCAGATTGATTTTTTTCATTACACTGCAAGCAAAAACTAAAGAAATCAACGTACCAAAGTCCTTGACAGTAGAGGGGGGAGGCTGACTTATGACCGGAAGGTCCCCATTGGTCTGTTTTTCCTTGACTGGCGACGGTGGAATCGTGAGGTTCTCAGTTTTAGACCCAAAAGGCAGTCTTACCTTCATGTCTGACGCCTCAGAACTCTTCTCTACCGATACACAAGAACCCATTTTTTTCTTTTTGCCTATCCCTTACGGTTAAACCCACATCATCCTTCACTCACCCATACAAAAAGATCCAAACTTTCTTCCCTTTTGCACGAATATCAGAGGCAAAAACAGAGAGGAAGGAAAATAGAACGTTTTTTTGGCGTTATGTCAAAGAAGTGGAAAATGCTTTGGAAGGGAAAGAAACTGTATCAGTAGGGAATTAGGCCTTGAAAGGGAAGTTAACATCTGCATGTAGGATTTTTATTATTATTATTTTTTGTTTCTTATTTTGTTTTTACTATAGTGGACTGTGGGGGCCACTGAAATTTTTACTGAGAATGGGGCCCACTTTAAGAGTTTCTGACTGGCTCTGATTTCCCATCAAGCATCATCTACAAAGTATGGGTTGTGATGTGATTCTTGTGAAATGTGTAAAAAATTGTCTTTTCATGAGGTGTTTTGGGTAAGTGGACTCTCCATTCTCCATGAGCTCTGATTATTGAATGGGACTTGGGGAGAAATTAGAAATGGGGGCAATTTTGTGTATAAATACTCATAAATCAGATGCTGACCAATCAATTGGAGATAGATCAACTGGGTTTGAAGCGGAAGATTTTGATCCCACAATTAATGTCACAGTAGTGATATAGATGACTAAAATTTGGAATAAGTAATGTAATATAAATTATGTTATTAAATAAATAAAT